CATTAGTTAAGAGTTCTTTATAATTTAATCAATGTACTACTGTAACATTCCAAAAAAAAAAACTCAGTTATTTTAAACACTAAAAAACAATTATGTGTATAAAAAGTTTAAATTATCATAGAACGGGGTTATATGGTAGGTCATATATTATTATAAATTTAAAATATCATAGAGCTTTGGTTAAATCATCATTTATAATTTTGTTACTACCATAAATACCAACTTTATATAAAAATCCAAATATTTATATTTATTTCAAATTTAACAGAAATGTATTCAATAATGAGTTGTATTAAGTCTCACATATATAAATATATATTTTTCTCCGTCACAAATATAAATATATTTACATATAAAATATATAAATTATTTTAACGAATCTGAGGTTCACTATATTAAAAATACACATATGATACTCATAATTCTTCTAAAATCCAGCCCATATGAATTCATCAAAAAAAAATATTGGCAAATACAACTATATTATAATTTGTATTATAACACAATACCATTTATATTAATCACTAAAGAAATTCAATCATTTTATTACACAAAATCACGAATATTACATATAAATTTTCAAATAAAATGGATTTGTGGTGTATACTATGGGGTAAAAATATAATTTGTTTAACAAAAAATAAAAAGAAATTTCCCTCCCGCTCTAGCGCAAATACGCATCTAAATTATTTTTTGATATATAAATCACAACGGATATATCGATTATGTTGGCAATCAAAAGATTATGATAAACAAACTTTGTATATAACCGTATGTATATATAAATTATAACGGTTAAAGTTTTAAATAAAAGATACGTATAAAATATTAGCCCCGTGGTGTAACACAGGGTAAAATCTAGTTACTTATTATTATTCTAAACATTATTGAGTCCATTAAATTCTCGCTTTAACAAAAAAAAATTAAAATTTTAAAAAATGGTGCTTAGTAATATAGTAGGGGTATTTATTATCCACTACGTTGTTTTTGAGATCCTAAACGTATCCAAGAAGCAACCCCCCTAGGGCAGTCAAAAATAAATAAATATAAAGTATAAAATGTAATAATATCTTTATGGTTCGTTCGGTGATACGAATCTACCTTTTTCTAGTATTGCATTAAATTTTGAATCATTTCCTTTTAGACGGACCTCTCTTAGACAAATCTCTCACAAATGAACCCATCAAGACAAGACATCATCTAACCCTCTATATAGCTAATTTCATGAATTTACTCAAATGTGAGTTGCTAATAATTTGCTAATAATTGATTAGTATTTCAGAAAAATTACGTATAAGCAAGTTAATTATTTTTTTTTTCAAAATAGTTTTAAAAGCAAGATGTGAATAGTAATCGTAGAATTATATACATTCAGAGAGACAGACAGTAAGTAAATATTGGACACTTTTGGATGATGGAACCAGCAAGCCGACAAAAAAGGAAGACACGTGTAATATAAATGGGAAAAACATAACAGAGGCAACACCACTACTACCATCACCATTGGTGTCCCGCAACCCGACGCCAACACCGAGCCGCGCGTCTTTGATCCGGCCGACCCTTTTCATTGACATCCTCCACCTTTTATATTTATTACTACTAACAGTACTTTCTTTTATTTTGAAACTATTTCCATTTTAACAGGACGTGCAACCAGTGAGTGAGTGATAATATCTCTAAGCGGGAAATCATGAAATGAGGTTTGGATTGGAGAAAGAAACAAAATGATGGAAGCATGCAAAAGCAGAGCTCACTTTGCAAGCAAATTATACGGGGCAGTGGGGTCTCACTCTCACTCTCACTCTCACACACGTGCATGCTTCTTCTTCTTCTTCTTCTTTCCCTACCCAAAAAATAAAAACACAAATCAATTACTATTATAATTTTGCCAAGACGAGAGAGAGAGAGAGAGACAGGGGTAAACAAATTCAAAAAAAGTAGGATAAAAGCAAGCAATTTATAAGTATGTAATAGTAGTCGTAGCAATATCGGAAAAAAAAAAAAAAAAGAAGAAGAAGGAGGAACAAAAAGAGAAATTCAAATCTTGACTTTTGTTGTTGTTGCCTGTTGGGTTACCTTTAGCTTTTGTTTTTCACTTTAGTCATCCATCGGGATCGCCGCTGTTGATTATAAAAAGAATGAAATAAAAGATCAAAAATCCATTAGGCATGCAGTGCTGGAGTTATATACTACTAATCTGGTCCCTTTAACTACTTTCGCTCCACGTATGTTTTCTTTTATTATTAAATAAAAATCTTACTGCTTATCAAATTCTACAGCCATATATATATATATATATATATATATTGCCCCCTACATCAATAATTGGTGCTAAAAACAAAATATATATATATATGTATCTTGATTACGTAGTTATGTGGAAAAATATATATAGAATTGGGTGACAAAGCCATTACAAAATTGTGGTAAACATATGGCTTTTCTGATTATCTATTCAATCTGCACCGTATTATTAGCTACGCATCTCCTTCCTTCTTATATGATGTTACCTCTGTTTTCCTTACACGGAATTAAGAGAAGCTACCTATGTACCTGCTGCTTCCTGGAAACCAAAAAGAAAGAAAGAAAGAAAGAATGTTTCACCTCTGCCGCAGGCTTTTTACAAGAATATATATATTTTCTTTTTTTCACGTCTGCAGGCTTTTAAATTTATCCGATTTATGTAAACTTCCTTTTTTTTTCTGCATAATAACTTCGTATTTCCAAAAGAAAAACAAATGAAATAAAGGAGATGTGAACATGATCCATTAAATTCGGCCTTTTTCTAAATTTATATGATAACTAGCGTAAGTATATCTTAATTAATCTTCGACCACTTTAAGAATTATTCTTCTCTTCATATAAAAACCGAAAAACGCCGGGATAAATTTTAGATTTCATACGTGCTTAATTAGCTTCTTTCCTTTAGATCAAAAGTACCAATCACATTGTTCTTTCTCTTTAGTAATTTATCTATTAGATCCCTGTGGGTCTAATAACAATATAATCTATGAATTTCGCTTCTTTTTTTTTTTAAAAAAAAAGAAAATGTTTTTATGATCACGGACAACGGTCTCACCGCCCACACATGTCTCATGGCTTTATTTTAGTCTATCTTTTTTTTTTTTTTTTTTTTGTAAACGAGTCTATCTTTTATTTATCACTATTAAGATATAATAGTTACTATAACAAATTTTTTATTTTTAAAAAGAGAGAGAAAAGACAAGTTTAGTGTTCACACGTCAAAGAAAAAGAAAGAGGATTCCCATGCACACGAACCAACAACACCCCGACCGGAGGAATTAGCCCTTTCTCAAATTTTAACTTCCTTCTCCTCCGTTTCACACTATTAGCTATAGACTCTACTTAGCTCCGAACCAAAATATAAATAGAATTGAACCAGTCGACATAACCGGACGTATGAAAGCGTCTACTGTCTTCTCTGACCTTACGCGTTGACCAGATGGCTCTAATTTTTTTCTTTTCTTTTCTTTTCCGAAATTATAACCGGTTACTGTAACTATTTCGTACTGTATATTATTAAACCTGCTATCGCCGGTCAATAAGGAAGAACTAATCAATGACCCTCCCTCTCTCTCTCTCTCCCTCTCTCTCTCTCTCCCGCATTCATTATTTAACACACAGAACAGAACACAGTGTTGTGACAAAAATATCAAAATCCTTTGGAGGAATCATCTCTTTCCTCTCTTCTTTTACTCTCACACTCATCATACATATATCCCTCTTTTAACCCTAATTAAAAAACTCGAATCCATCTTTTCTTCTGTGTTTTTGTTTTCTCCTTTTTTATTTGTTCGATCTCTGTTTTGATGCGATTTCTCTGTTTTTGATTCTTTTTTTTTCCCCGGGGAAAGCTGAGTGAGTGAGAGAAGAAGAAGAAGAAGAAGCAACAATGGAGTTTACAGATTTCTCAAAGACGAGTTTTTACTACCCGTCGTCGCAAAGCGTTTGGGATTTCGGAGATTTAGCGGCGGCGGAGAGGAACTCGTTAGGGTTTATGGACTTGTTAGGTTCTCAACCTCAGTATCACGACTTCCCTACTGTTTCTCCTCATTCTTTGCCGCAGCACCAGTCGCAGACGCAAACGCAGCTCTCGACGAAGCTGTCTTCTCCTGTTTCAACTATCCTTCAAGCTCCTCCACCTTCTCATAACGCCTCGACGGCAGAGCAACTTGTGGCGTCAAAGGTGGAATCTTTGTGTTCAGATCATTTCTTGACGAATCCACCGGCGACTCCCAACTCCTCGATTTCGTCTGCTTCAAGCGAGGCTCTTAATGACGAGAAACCCAAACGAGAAGACAACGATGGAGAGGAGGAAGATGAACAGGACAAGAGTCATACAAACAAACAGTGAGATTCTTTTTTCTTTTTGGGTTCTCTCTTGATCAATGTTATGAGCATAATTAAGCTGTTCGAGAAAAAGATGAAAAAGAAAGGTTTCCTAAAGTAACCATTTTTAATGTTATATGTATATTTTTCGTTGTTGTTGTGTTTTGGGTATGAACAGGTTGAAACCAAAGAAGAAGAATAATCAGAAGAGAGAGAGAGAGGCAAGAGTCGCATTCATGACAAAGAGTGAGGTCGATCATCTCGAAGATGGCTATCGATGGAGAAAATATGGTCAAAAAGCTGTCAAAAACAGTCCTTTTCCCAGGTTTTTATATCCTTCCTTTGACCATCTTTTCTTCTTTCTACACACACACACACTTAATACAAGCATAAGAAGAAGAAGAAGAAGACAACTTCAATCAATGGGCAATTTTAAAGCTGTAATAAGCTTTTCTAAATTTCATAAAAAAATAATTGCTTTTTCCTTTTCTGATTTGCTTGGGGACATGCATTGTCTTAATTTCTTTTGGGATCTAGTGTCCCATTGTTTCATAATTTTCACAATTTCCAAAGAATAAGAAACTTGAAACATGTTAATGGTGTTTCGTTTTGCAGGAGTTACTACCGTTGCACAACGGCTTCATGTAACGTAAAGAAGAGAGTAGAGCGATCATTCAGAGATCCAAGCACTGTGGTTACGACCTACGAAGGTCAACACACACACATTAGTCCACTCACGTCTCGTCCTATCTCCACTGGAGGTTTCTACGGATCATCAGGAGCTGCGTCGAATCTCGGTAATGGTTGCTTTGGCTTTCCTGTAGAGAGCTCCGCGCTAATCTCCCCTCAGTTCCAACAGCTTGTCCATTACCACCAACAACAAGAGCTCTTGTCTTGTTTTGGAGGAGCCAACGAGTACCTTAATAGCCACGCAAATGAGTATGGTGATGAAGATCGTGTGAAAAAGAGTCGAAGTTTGGTTAAAGATTATGGACTTCTTCAAGATGTTGTTCCATCTCATATGCTCAAGGAATGAGTAGTATATAGTCTATATATTAGTATTGTAATTCACTGCAGTATTGAATTAATCTAGCTATAGGTTTCTTAGATTGTATAATTGTCTAAAAGAAAAACGGATCTTTCGTTTTCGTGTAGGGGATATGTTTTCTTGTGGATCTAAAATTATTATAGGTACTTGAGCTTAAGTTTTCTCCATGGAATCACTACCCTAAGATAAATTTCAAGTTACTGTAACTTGAAATTGGTGTAAGTTAATTAATTCAATATTTTTTTTTTAAAAAAAGAATTGTTGTGAATAGTTAACATGGTTTTGTAAATAGTATAATTGGCAAAAAAAAAAAAAAACTTGAACGCATATGATTTTAATCGTATTTTTTTTTTAATTAACGATCATATATATAGTCTATATAAAATTGGTCTGTCTTTTAAAAACTTTTGCTATGGGCTTTGCATGAGCTCTATGTTTTCAATTTCATAGCTAGGTAGCTAGGCTTATATATAGTTGATGGTTAATTTTCAGAAAATCGCAAACTAATTTGATATACGGTTCAAATGCGTTCTAGGGTTTCAGGTTACTCTACCTCTACTCAAAGACAGAGTCAGTTAATGTTTTTTTCTTTTAGATTTTTTTTGCCTCACTTAAATTTGTGTCTCGGAATCTGGAAATGTTAATACTACTAGCTAGCACGATTAATTACGCGAGACTGCGAGACAACTAAAGATGAAAGCAATGCGAAATTGGAAGCATAAACCCAACTACTCTCATACCTACTCTCCTCTATGTTTTGATTCACCCTTCGTGATTTCTTATTTATTTACCCCTTTTTTGCTTCTTCTTCCTATTTCATCATTACATTGCGGTGAAGAATAAGACGTATGCAGTATGCACTGTGTTATTGTCGCTTGCTATTTTCTTTTAATTTACAAAATTATAAGAATATCAAAGAGAAAATTTTGTCAGTCTCTTCACATATAACTGGGAAATCATATCCATATATGTATATAAACCTTCGATATCCTTGCGTATAAAGCTACGTTATTGGTTCCTAACTAGTACTCTAGTATAAAACTAGTAAATTATATAATATATCATAGAAATTATAACAGGTACAGACTTAAGAAAGATCAGTTACATATATAAAAAGTAATTAATTATGATGTAAATGGTACATATAATATTACAAAATGCGCAAGAATCACTACTATCAATATTTATCGTTATTCATAACATAATTATTTTATTACAAAGTTAATATAATAGCGCACATATGATATCACAACACTCTCAGCTTCTTTTTGACACCAATTTTCTGTACATTTCGTCTATTGATACCTGTATATATATAAAAAATGGAACGTTAGTGCAAAAATTTGGATTCTGCATAACTAATCAAATACAAATTAACATATTATTGAAACCTGATAGTACTTGAGAAGATTGTTCCTCCTGTTCTTTAGCGTCGCAGTCACTAAAAGCATCCTCATTGGGGGTATTTTAGGAGGCTAAGATACCCCCACTTTTCCAAAGAAAATCTTTATATAACACATTTTCTTTGAAAAAGTGGGGGTATCTTAGGGCAACATTATTGGAGGTTAGCCTCCTAAAATACCCCCAATGAGGATGGTCTAAGTCTCTTTCCATGTCAAAAGGTTTTGTATCAACCGTCACCGCTTTGATGTACTCAAACCTGCTTAGCTATATGTATTTTTTTCACATTGTCAATTTTTTTTATTTTTTTTTAAAGTGTATAATTTCTAGAAGAATATTTGATAAAATCATGCAAACCTTGTTCTTCTCTGCCGTGGACTTGAGTTCTGAAATTATGTATTCTTTTAGCTCCCAGAGAGAGCAGAGTTCTTCGAATGGTTTAGTAAACCCGAGATCTTTAGCTCACCGGTTTAGGGTTTCTGTATTGGGAATAATCACCGCGACAAGCATAGATTTGAAGCTGTCTCCATAAACCCATATCTTGAGAAGAAAAATATGACAAAGAAGTGAAGATAATCAGACGATGGATTTAAAAGTGACTGAAGAGAAAAGCTTAAAAGCGATGGCTTTCTGGACAAGAAAGAGTTGAAACCCTAACATCTTGGACTATGGGGTTTTGTCCGTAGATGCTTTCTAAATGCTCGAGGGCAACATATTCCCCTTGAGAGAGTTTGATCAGGTTCTTCTTACGATCAATGACCTTTAGTACTCCGTTTGGAAGAATCTCACCTATATCTCCTGTTGAAAACACCAACAAAAATTATAAAGACCAAAATCAAAATAATCGAAATGATCTCAAATTGTTTGAACCCATCACCTGTATGGAACCATCCGTCTTTCATGACTTCAACAGTGAGTTCAGGGTTCTTGTAATACCCAGAGAACAGACATTTTCCTCTTATACATATCTCGCCTGCGGGATTTTCTCCCAATGGGTCATATCCCATCTCCGGCACCTCCTCAAGCCGTATCTCATTGTAAACTGCTGGAATACCGACCGTCCCCAGCATACTCATCTCGTCCGGGTAACACAAAGTTGTTCCTCCAAGCGTCTCCGTTAGACCTAAAGCAAACAAACCCCGCAAGATTGACTTACCTTCAGAATCAAGGAACAGAGCAAGAACCCTAGAATGGGGAAAGATATATATATGTATGTACATTACCATAGCCTTGGACGACGAAACAACAAGAAGTAACTCTCAAGAACTCTTCGATATCAGGGCTCAATGGTGCTCCTCCAGATACTAGCAACCGAATTCGGCCTCCTAATTGATTTTTAATCTTAAATACAAGTAAGAAAACAAAACCGTAAAATGTTAGCCACATAGTTATTTCAACTGAAGAAGCAATCCCACGAATGAAGCTTATTTCAAATGTTTTAGACCTTTTTGAAAGCGATGAAGTCAGCCATGGGTGAAGCTTTACTGTGAGAATATCCACGATTCATCCATGCAAGTTTGCTGCATCAGTAATATAAAGTATAAACTTAGTGCGAGGGCAGTGAAGTGTAAACAAACAGAGGAGATCTTACACAGAGGACACACAAAACAGAGAGAAATCAATAAGTAATGGATATTTGATACTTTAGTTATTAAGTTCACTTTGCGGCATTAGATATTTTATATTATAAAATTAGAGAAGTAATATATAAAACTTAACCCAATAAAGAAGAAAAAATAACAAAACATTACTCATTTACCGTAAGTTAGATTTAATGAAGTTCTTCACAAAAGCTGATTTTCACGTGGTTACCCAAAGTAGCTTTTAATCTACCAAATAACGGTAAAGCTTACTATTGATAGAGAGCATAGAAGATGAGTCTCCTTCTAGGATTAAGCTCCTGAAGAGCCATCTGGATACCCTCATGGATCCTCTCAAAGACTCTTGGAACTCCGGCCAGAAAAGTCGGTTTCAGTTCTTGAATATCATCGTGTAACGCATTCAAATCCTAACACGCACAAAAACATTAAAACAGAAAAATGCGTCGGCATAATCAGATTTTAGTTCCTTAATCTGACGATGTATGGTTTATGAATGATCTTTAGGAGATTTTATACATACTCCATGGTAATAGCCAACGGAAGCGCCTTTACGGAAGAAATATTCCTCATTTGCACGGTCGAGAATATGGGCCAAAGGCAAGAACGAGAGATAAACATCTTCATGCGTCATCTGATCATATACACGTAAAGAGCCCGAGAGATTATTAAGAGACACGACATTAGTGAAAAACATTATTTGCCAATGTATGGTTAGAATGATAATAAGCTTTCATTGAAATGGTTATCATCCTATGTTAAAAAAATTATCCTAGATTTAAGGATTTGTTTTTCAATTTTATTGAGAGTCACCTTGTCTTCGAACTGGTCCATGCAGAGATCCATCCCAATAACGCAAGTGGCGGCCGCTTCGTGGGTCAAAACCACACCTTTAGGTTCACCGCTTGTCCCGCTCGTGTACATTATGGTGCACACGTTAGACGGTTTAGGCGGGTTTGTCTCTTCCGGTTCAGCTTGTCCCTGGTCAAATAGTCACGGTCAAATTATCAACATTACTAGTATAGGCATCAAATTCATTAAATTCTGTTTTTTTTCGGCATCAAAATTCATTTAATCCTCTATGCGTATAAAAGCAATGTATAATTTCGTCGAGTTGGTTTAACATGTGCGTGTCATTTAATTTTCGTCAGAATTTTGATAACGTAAAAAAAAAAAAAATGATAGAAGAATATATATATAGAAGAGACGAACCATATGGAGAAAATCGGGCCACGAGTATGCTTTGACTCCAATTTCTGAAGCCTTGAGGCTCTGTTCTTCGGCCACGTTAGTGAAAGAAACTATAGCTTTTAGACGTTTTGCACTTTTGCAATCTGGCTCAAGAAGCTAATTTTGGATAACATACACATTAGCAAACATCTATCTTTCAAATGTATAGATAGATTAGATAGTTGATGACATTAATCCCAAAAAGATCTTAACTCCTTTAATTTTGGTATTCTGGACGAACACAAAATCGATCTCCGCATGATCGACGATATAATCGACAGCTCCTGTGCCTAAAGAGCATCAGATATATGTAAACAATTCCACGTTCTTGAGTGTCCGTCTAATGCATGCATGGATTCACATGAAATAAAGAATCAACTCACCCAGGGTATCATACAGAGGTACGCATATTAGAGTGTGAGCTGCACAAGCCTAAATATTTAGAAATAATATGTATATATAAGAGTAATTTGGATAGAAAACAAAATATGAAAAAATAAATGAAAAGTGAGATGGACCTCCATTGCTATGATCCATTGAGGACAATTAGCTCCGTAGATCCCTACTCGACACCCCTACGTATATATTACATATACCATTAATTATAGTTCGGTATAAACTATTGTAAAGTAATAATAATAAGATAATAATGAGAAAAATGTATATGTATAAGAAAAATACAGGTTCAGCTCGGAGGGCTCGTAGTGCAGAGCCGATCTGGAGAACTTCTTCGTATACTTGCTTGTACGTTTTCCAAATATACGATCCAACCTATATACCGGATCCGTACAGATATAAGTGTTAAACAATAAGTACTCAGTAGAATACATGTTTTTGATTTTATATAAAAAAAAATCACCTTATCATCGAGAATTTGACGCCATCCAAGCATGTTGTTATCAGGGAATTTCTCCACTGATTTACTAATTAAGAAAACCCAGAAGATAGATTTATTAACAATTAATTAGCTATACAAATTAAAAGTAAGGGATATAATTATATATGATATTATAAATTAGTTAAACCTGAAAATGTCCCAAGTGGTCGTGATATCAGAATCACGAGGAGGAAAACCTTCCTCTGACAGAAGATTCCGGTACACCGGACCTACCGATGGCTTTCCATCTTCCCCTTTAACTCCGTCTTCTACCTTTGCCGCAAAATACTTCATTTTGCCTCTCTTTATGTTTTTATTTCCTTTGTAGAGGATGACTGAATATCGATACATATATATATATATATATATATATATATATTGCACTGCATAGTCCGTAAAACTCTAAGATTAGTGGGAAATACGTAATCGTGTAACAAGATTTTTACTCAACGGAATCGTTGAAACCAAGATATGTTGTAGTTTAGTTTCATTAGTTAATCAGTGACAGCTCTGAGCTCTCTGCATACGTATTTCGTACTTTAAAAATTACATTTATTATAATATAGTTTCATGTAATCTATTGGCGTTAATTGACTCTTTCACTTCAGTACATACGTTCTTTATTCATTCTTTTTTTTTTTTTAGGCAGAGAGGAAATAAAGTGTTACTACTAATATGAAAAGGATTCGTCATCAAGATATTAGTAAACATGCACCACTGAGATACTCATAAGAAGATGGATCCGAGATGAAATCTTTGGTTCAAACAACGAATGGTAGAACATCAAGTGTATGGTTTTATAGAGTTATACGCTATATATGGGAATGAGTACTCAGGAAGTAACCAAATGTCAACTGATGCAACTTTTGTAAAAATCATTGAATTTGGTAGTGATTCTCTAGTTAATTGATTAACAAGATTATAGTGCTAGTTCGTCATATATAGTGGAAAATGTTATATATGTCGCATCTTGTAACCTCTCTATTTTGTTGTGATTATGGCTTTATATATACGGAGTGGAAAGGGAAAGCTTCAACCCAAGTTCATGATGATAATGAGGTTACTGTCTTGATGATAAGAAGTGGCTAGTCTTGCTTTCGACTGGGTTCTCTCACCTACACCCACACTCAGAGTTTGTCTCATGATGATAAATGAGGTACTGTCTCCTTTGCTTATAGGTGTTGCTATAATCAAGGCTTACACATCCATATTTGATACTTTCACCTGAGAGCGAGGGTTGTATCCCAGACAGCTCCCTAATTCCTCTGCTTCACGTGGTGCTATATCATCGATTAGAATAAAGCTCATCATGAATCATGCTACCAAGTGAATTATGTGGTAATCAATCTCGCATGGGTATATTTATTAAAACAAAAAGGTTCTCAGACAGATTGCGGCGAACTTGTTATTACTGTATTATTAGTTTTATCAAAAATCTGAATGCTAACACTACTACACTAGTAGTCACCGCAAGAACACAACCTCCACCCTTCAGACTTCAATGTGAGCTTGAAAAACACATGAAATTCCCTACAATCTCGGATACTTCATTAACCATCTATGTAATTTAGGTCATCAAAGAAAAGGCCATAACCAATTTCTCATTGGTATCAGAGAGAATCCTTCATACAACCTTTCACAAAGTCTTGAGGCAGCCAAATCCAAGGCAACAATCAAGACTAAAGCTAATTATGACGAGAGACAGAGTGACAGATGCAGACTTTGTAATGATCTGCCTTTGCTTTTCTCAAGTGACTGAGAATCAGAAGTTTCAAGAGTCTATTGGCTAATTAAGGCCTTGAATGGGGAGACAGGAGAAGTGCAGTTGACCCATGCATGTAGTTCTCCTGTTACCGAAACACCATTCACCATTTTTAATTTTTTTTAAACAAAACCAAAAAAACTGAAGGCAGTTCATTAATTTTTTGTCTTTTTGTGAAAAAGACAGGACATCTGTGGGGGAAGTTGTGCACGCCTCTTTTGATGTGTTTTAACTGTCTTTTGTATTTTTTTATTTTTTTAATAAGATAATAATTCAAAAAAATCTTTTTTTTTTTTTTTTCTATATAACTACACTACACTTCACAACCCATACACCACTCACTTCTTCTTTCTCTCCCTCTCTCGTGTTCTAACCATTTTTGTTTGCAAAGGTATTTTTTTTTTCTTAAATTACATGCAATTTAATTTTTCTATAGACTAACATATATATTTTATTTTTTACAGAATTCAAAATACAATCCAAGCTTCAACACTACACCTTTTGTTTCTATAATTTCCTGCTGAAAGGTATATATATTTATCCTATTAAATAAATGTAGTTACATTATATAGTATATTAGTAGTTATAAAATTATAGTATTTAAATTTTTATTTAAAACATGCTTTTTCTACCAGTGATGTAATATGTATGTTAATTTTATATTTGTATATATATAGTTTTTGGTATATGTTCTTACTTGTTAAACTTGTATTTTCATGAAACTATGTTTATTTTATCATAGTTATTCATATATGATAATAAATGTTGTTTTATATTTTTCTTTCTTTATGGAATCTTTTTTAAAAACCTTATCTAAAAAAATTAAAAAAGTAAAATTTATACATTTAAAAACTAGCCTATATTTATGTTTTGTTGTAAAATAAATTTATTTGAATATAATTATCTCCTATAATTGTGGGAGGTTATTTGAAAGTTGTTATGAATTTTAAAAAATAAAAAACTTTAAATATTTTGCACCAAATATTTTTTTATTAAATTGTCATGAAAATAGGAGTTAGTTTTATATTTAAAAAAAAAAAACGGTTAGACAAATATAAAAATTCGGGGGAAAAAAAGGGTATTATATTTACTGGAGACAAATATTATGTGGTTGATTCTGGTTATCCAAATAAACAAGGTTTTTTGGCTCCTTATAGATCTTCACGGAATGGGATTGTTCGGTATCATATGTCGCAATTCTACAATGGTCCTCTTCCTAGGAACAAACAAGAACTATTTAATCGTTGTCATGCATCACTACGTTCTGTTATTGAAAGAACATTTGGAGTTTGGAAGAAGAAATGGAGGATTCTTTCTGAGTTTCCTAGATATAACACACATGTTCAAAAAAGAGTGGTGATGGCTACAATGGGACTACATAATTTTATCAGAATTTCAAATTATTTTGATGAAGATTTTGCTGAAGTAATGGAGCATACACAAATTCAGAGAATGACGAAGGTGACATGGAAACTACTGCTATAGCTGATGGAGATCAAATGGCAAATATTAGAGAAAATATTGCTGATATATTATGGGCAAATCAAAATACTCCTTATTAATATATTCTTAGTTTAATTTTTGTTGTATTTGAATATTTGTTTTTAATGTTTTAAGACCTCCAAATATTTAGAAAAAAAATCAACACTAAATACATTGATTATTTTTAAAAATAATTTTATTGAATTTTATGTGTTTTTTATATTATTTACTGTTTAATATTTAATATGCATATATAATCTGCACTGTTTGATCTACTTTTACCATTCAAGGCCATAATATATACTGCACAATCAGCATGATCTGCACTTGTTCTGCATGATCTGCATGATCTACCTGATCTGCATTGTTCATATGATCTGCATGATCTGCATGATCTGCAACGCTTGATCTGCTTTTACCATTCGAAGCCTAAGAAATCCAGACATAGTTCCAATACAATAACAGAGTAACCACATAGAAACATAGCCTAACAATCATTGGATTCCATATGGTAAACGCATGGTGTCAGATACTCTAAGAATCACTCTCCAGCTTTACCTTCCACTTCCAGAGTACAACCTCTTGATCAATCACTATCAGTTCCGTCATCCTCTCCCGCTGCCAAGTGTCCAAAAATACAAAACTTGTGAGTTATACAACAACAACAGCAGCAACAAAACGAATGAGCAAACAAGAGTTAGATAAACGAGCGCTGACCAGATAATGGTTGGCCAAATTTGTTGCAACGCATCACGTAGACTGCTTTTCCCATCAGATTCAAGCTTGAATACTGGTGGAGTTCCCAAATGTTGTCTTCCCTGGGGAAAGGTTTAAAAACACGATGTCTGACTTCAGCAATCATCTTGCTACGATCCTCCTCCCAGTGGAAATCCGAGTTTGCAGGAATGTGAGACAATCCAAGGAACAACCACTGGCGAAAGGATTCCCATGCAGAAAACTCAACACTGAACAAACCTGCAATGGGACTCAACAGTCATGATATTTGTACAATATGGAAAGAAAGTAAAAAAAAGAGATAAGATTCTATACCTGACTGGCAAGGAGGGACCTGAAACACATCTTGAGAGAGTTGAGGAACTCCGGTCTCCTTTCCAGCCCTGATCAAGTTGAAAATCTTGCCGGCAATGAGCGCAAATTGAGTGGTTGAAGAGTAAACATCTGAGAGCAAGAATGGGAGGTTGGTTTGTGAATCTGAAGCAGCCATCTCTTGGCAGCCCTCACAGCAATACTCTAACGCTCTAATAGGCATACGTATACAATCCCATCTGACACATTGATCTTTGTGTCTCCCAGTGACCATGACAGGCCGATCATTAGGATCCATGATGACTTTCCTACCTGAAACGCTAATAGTGCAAATACCCAACACGATCACAATAATCAATTTTTTTAGGTTGAAAAAAAAACAAAGCAAATTGCAAAGAAGAAATCAGTATAATTGATGTCACACACAGTAATGAATACAGTGATTCAAGAGCATAACAACCAGAGTGAAATTTCAAAAGAGACGACCAACAAAGAGGAGGAACAGATCAAATAATGGAAGACCTAAGCAGACCATTGTTGAAAATTGCGAAATCTAATCTAAGCTAGTTGAACAACTATCAGAAGAAACAGATCATCATCAGTAGAGTCGAGTCGAAGAATGGAGAGCGAAACAAATCAAACAAAAACTAAAAGGATTCAAAACTTGTAGAATCGAAGAATGGAGAGAAACCCTAACCCTTGAAGCAGCAGTGAGAAATCTTCGGTAGAATCGAGTCGATTTTAGTTCCTCTTCTGCTCTCTTTTTTTCTTTTCTCTTTTTTTTCTTTCACTAAGTAGACTAGTAGAGAGAGCGGAGGAAGGAAGGTTCCAGAATCATTTAATATCTCTTCCATCAATTGTTTTGATGGGCCTTCTTGTTATAAGCCCATAGCATTTCGTTGCACCTTACTTTACGATAGTTTTATAAGGTAATTAATGGATTTTATACAAAAATAAAATAAAATTTACTGATTATTTATGTATTACCCTATAAGATTAGTAGGAAATACGTAATCGTATATAATACAATTTACTAAACGGAACCGTTGAAACCAAGATATGTTGTAGTAGTTTCAGTAGTTAATCAGTGACAGCTCTCTGCATACGTATTTTGTACCCTTTTTTTTTTAGTTACTATATATACACATTACATATTATAAATTTATAATATAGTTTTATTAATCGATTGGGATCAATCGACTCTTGCACTTGAGTACTACATACGTTTTTTTTTTTTTTTTGGTAAAATATTACATACATTCTTTATTCACTCTTATGGTTTTTTTCTTTTAATTAGCCAGAGAGGAAATAAAGTGTTACTGCTATATACATGCACCACTGAGATACTCATGATAAGAAGATGGATCATCCGAAACAAAACCTTTGGTTCACCATGTAGTTACGTGGATCGTGGTAGATGTGATTTAAACAACTAGAACTAGCTAGAGAGACTTAGAGTTAGAGAGGTACATTTTAATAAAAGGAATTAAAAAAAAAAAAAACTAATAATTATGATGGAAATTGTCATACAAGATAAAAATAGCATATTACACACAAAGCAGACAACGCAGCATAAGGCTTTTCTATCAATTATTGATACATGCAAATAACATAATAACACACACATCATCTCAACACTTTCAGATTTTCTTTGACGCCAATTTGCGGTACATTTCGTCGATTTGTACCTGTATATATAATGGAACGTTAGCGGATATCATATATATATATATATATATATATTAGTATGGCGTGCAAATATATAGAGTCAAACATTAACCAATGATCTATAGAAGAACTTGTTCAAACCTGATAATATTTAAGAAGATTGTTCCTCCGATTCTTGAGCGTCGCAGTCACTAAGTCCCTCTCTATGTCGAAAGGTTTTGTCTCCACCGCCACAGCTTTGATGTACTCAAACTTCCTTAGCTATATATATATATATATATATTTTTCCACATTCACGAAAGTACTTTTAACTAGTGTCATTTTAAAATAAAACTGAATAACGCTGATTCAGACACAAAATCAAACGAGTTTAAACAGACCTTGTTCTTTTCTGCTGTGGACTTGAGTTCTGTGATTATGTGTTCTTTTAGCTCCGAGAGAGAGCAGAGTTCTTCGAATGGTTTAGTAAGACCTAGATTTTTAGCCCACCGGTTCACGGTTTCGGGATTAGGAACAATCACCGCGACAAGCATCGATTTGAAGCTGTCTCCATAAACCCATATCTGAGAGAATAAGCATAAAGGGGTAATTAATCAGACAAAAAGTTGATGGTAAGTAAGGAGAAACCCTAAAAAGGATTACTTGCTTGCTTGACAAGATATCATGATTCAAAGTTCAATCCCTTACATCTTGGACAAGAGAGTTTTGCCCGTAGATGTTTTCCAAATGCTCGAGAGCAACATATTCTCCTTGAGATAGTTTGATCAGATTCTTCTTCCGGTCAATGATCTTGAGTACTCCGTTTGGAAGAATCTCACCTATGTCTCCTGTTAAAACATCCAAAACACAATTCAGAAACCAGAATCAAGCAATCAAATATTTGTGAATGGTAAATTCAGTATTTGCCACCTGTGTGGAACCATCCATCTTTGATGACTTCATCAGTGAGTTCAGGATTCTTGTAATACCCAGAAAACATACATTGTCCTCTTATACAGATCTCCCCTGCCGGATTTTCACCGAGAGGGTCATAGCCCATTTCAGCCACTTCCTCAAGCCGTATCTCGTTGTAAACCGCCGGAATACCGACTGTCCCGAGCATACACATCTCATCCGGGAAGCCCAAAGCCGTACCTCCAAGCGTCTCCGTTAGGCCTAGTCCAAACAATCACAGCAACGTTGCACTTTCCTTGACATACACACGAAACAGAGGAAATAAACCCTAGAATGCAGAAGAGGTGTAAAAAATATTATACCGTAGCCTTGGACGACAAAACAACAACAAGTAACTCTCAAGAACTCTTCAATCTCAGGGCTTAAAGGTGCTCCTCCAGATACTAGCAACCGGATGCGACCTCCCAGTTTGTCTCTAATCTTTAACAAAAACAAAACAAAACCGCCAAAAGTCTGTGTGAGGACTATAAACAAAAACATAAGCTCCCAAAATACAAAGAAAAAACCCATGATATCAACTGTTTATAACCTTTCTGAAAGCAATGAAATCAGCCATGGGTGAAGCTTTGCTATGAGAGTATCCACGATTCATCCACGCAAGCTTGCTACATAGTCATTTTGTTTTGCAACGTTAAACTATTAGAGAACAGAGAAGTTAGAAGAAAACAGATCAATAACGATGAAAAGTTGCTTACTGTTTGTAGAGAGCATTGAAGATAAGTCTCCTTCTTGGGTTAAGTTCTTGAAGAGCCTTTTGAATCCCCTCATGGATTCTCTCAAACACTCTTGGAACTCCAGCTAGATAAGTCGGTTTCAATTCCTGAATGTCGTCACGTAACACATTCAAATCCTACACGAAACAACAACATATCACCATTCTTTTAGTTTCTTTATCCATTTTTCTTCCACAATTTAACATCTTAAGAGGTTAACATACTCCATGGTAATAGCCGACTGAAGCGCCTTTGCGAAAGAAGTATTCTTCATTCATACGGTCAAGAATATGAGCCAACGGCAAGAAGGAGAGATACACATCGTCATGTGTCATCTACTCGTATTTAACCCGTCCAAAGAAATGAAGAATACAGAGGATTAGTCAAAAGTAAACAGAGGATTAAGCATAATGTTATTTCTACCACGGTAGAAAAAGAAAAAAAATAAAACATACGTTAATTCTAAGTTATTCTTTCTGTTACTAATAATTATGGCCTTATGGGTTACCTTGTCTTCGAATTGGTCCATGTAGAGATCCATCCCAACAACAAAAGTGGCGACCGCTTGGTGAGTCAAAACCACACCTTTAGGGTCACCGCTCGTGCCACTCGTGTACATAATGGTGCATATGTTAAACGGCTTAGGCGGGTTCGTCTCTTCCGGTTTCTCACGTCCCTGGTCAAATATTCAATGGTCAAATCCTCAACCAACAGAAAAGATCTTATATCGTATAAATCAATGTTTGCTGTGCATGGACTATGGTTGGACACCTAATTCATTTAATTCGACGCAGACGCTAAAAACATAATGTCATCACATCAAGTTGGTTGCCTGTCACTATACCTCAAAGAATGGTCCGAACATATAAAATAAAATAAACCATAGAACATATAATATTATTCAGTAGATAAAAAGTGAAACGACGAACCATATGGAGAAAATCGAGCCAAGAGTGTGTTTCGACTCCAATTTCTGAAGCCTTGTGGCTAAGCTCGTCGCTCACGTTAGTGAAGGAAACTATAGCTTTTAGCCGTCTAGCACATTTGCAATCTGGCTCGAGCAGCTAAATTTTAACAGCATTAAAATAAACAAAAAATACCATTATTCACATGAGTGAATATATCGCAAATGCATAAACTTATCAGTAAAATTATTTTTCTGATAACAATTAATTTTAAAAATATTTACTCCTTTAATTTTGGTGTCTTGGACAAACACAAAGTCGATTTCCGCATGCTCTACAATGTAATCGACTGCTCCTGAGCCTAAAAATATTTTGAGTTAGGTTCTTGAGTTTGAGTCAAGGAGATAAATAAATAAAAATAACTTACCCAATGTATCATAAAGAGGTACACAGATTAGAGTATGAGCTGCACAAGCCTAGATATGTACACAAAATTTAATAATGAACTTTTGGTCAAATAAATGAAAAAAGCATTCATATAAAAAAATAAAAAAATGAGATGGACCTCCATTGCTATGATCCACTGAGGACAATTAATTCCGTAGATCCCCACTCGACACCCCTACATAATATAAATATGTAAATAACAAATTTCGAAAATAAAAACATAAAGAGTTCATCTTGAGAAAACAGAAACAAAAACAAAATTTACAGGTTCAGCTCCGAGGGCTCGTAGTGCAGAACCGATCTGGAGAACTTCTTCGTAGACTTGCTTGTACGTTTTCCAAATATACGGTCCAACCTATATACCGGATCGGTTCATAATGCACGTTAACTATATCAGTTGTAAATCTTTAATAATTACCCTCCCTCCCTTTTTGAAGTAATTAACAAGAATAAGAAGAAAAAAAAATCACCTTCTCATCAACAATACGACGCCATCCAAGCATATTGTTCTCCGGGAATTTCTCCACTGATTTCCTATAAAGTTTCCATCAAGAGAGTACTATATTATATAAGGTTAAATAGTTATACATACGTAAAAGGTGATCGATAACTAAATTACATGAAGATAAAAATATATATTAACATGCATAAACCTGAAAATGTCCCAAGCAGTGGTGATATCAGTATCAATCGGAGGAAAACCTTTTTCCGAAAGAAGATTCCGATACACCGGACCTTCCGACGGCTTTCCGTCTATCCCTTTAACTCCCTCTTCCACCTTCGCCGCAAAAGGCCTCATGATCATCTCTCTAGCTACTTCTCTCTCTCTCTCTCTTATTTTTATCCCCTGGACGACGATTAATTTTAAGAGTTATTTTTTTCTTTTCCCATAAAGAACAGATAATTAAAATACTCTCATGATCCCAAGTTATTTATATATATGCATGCTTGCGTACTCCGTACTTTATTTTAGTATTATAATATACTTTCAGAAAATTAATGAAAAATCTATATTATATAGTTTAACACTAAAATACATACAGTCGCATTTAATTGTTACCAGTCCGGTCCACCCAACCATACCGATCAATCGCAAACCAAAAGTTTCGGCATTTATTACATTATGATAAGCAACAACATAAGATACCATACCATACCAACTTAACGTACTCACACCCATTTGGATTTTGACACTAACTTGGTATTCCATGTTTTTTGATTGAACTGGATTTTATATTACGAAGGATTCAAGGAAATATACACGTCGTCGAGCGTCCATTATCTAATTTGCACCTCTTTAATTTCCTACTGAAATTATATTTAACAATACCATCTACATAGTTTTTTTTTTTTTTGGGAGTCACGCCCTAAACGTGAGAGCATGTATAACCCTGGCTTCACTCCCTTTTATCCTTTCTTTTTTTTCATCATCTTCTCTATTATACTACATAATACTGCAAATTGAAGTATTTAGTGGAGGTATGTATGAATAGATTATGTATATATGTGTTGTAGTTGTGACGATCTCTAATCAATATGTAAATCATCATAGATAAATCAGTGATTGTATCAAAGACATCGTGATACAACAAAAACATCAATACGTATATTATCCTGATTTCAAATCCTTTTATAAGAAAACAAAAAATGAAGATAACATAATCATATATATAAAACTCGAAAAACGAAAACTAATTAAGATTAAGCAACCAACCTTTTCTTTAGTTGACAGAGTACGTTGTAGTTTACAGATGTTCTTCAGATCACACTCGTCTGAATCCGACAGGCCGGGTAATAATTGTAATTTTTCTTCCAGTATTTAGAAATAGCTTTGCTTTCTAACCTTTTGCTTAGTTTATGAATCTCTTAGAAATGATCAGAGAGAGAGAGAGAGAAAGAGAGAGAAAAAAAAAAAGAGAAAGAAGATAAGTTGGGGATGCTGAGAAATGGTTTGTTTGGTTTATATAATAATACATGAGTTGGTTGATACAGGCCAGGCCTGTGTTTTTTCATTTTTTGATACTTTTATTCTTGTGTTTAGTCTTCAATATCAATGTGTAACTAATAAAGAAGAGAAGGAAAAAAAAATAATCAAAAAGAGCTAGCGAAACAGATATATATATATTTCAATAATTAATTCTTGTTCCATACATAGGCTATATATACTAGTGTTTATTAGCCGAAAGTAGGTTTTTCTATTAATAATCTCCAACTACTATTTTTTCCCATTAATTGATATTTACGTCCACGATACGGAAAAAAAAAAACACTTTATATGATTTCACAAAGCATATATATCATCATTGATATGTCGAAATAAATCAATTTATAAGCCTAAATGAAGTAATATTAGTCTCTCGCTAAATATATATATAGATATATAACTTGTTTCCAATTAACTTTAAGAATCAATTTGCAAAATCATTTATTAGAATTTGTTGGGAGAGCAAAATAATCTTCTTTCCCGTTTGCAACTTGTATTTTACTTTAGAGGATCAATTTGCAAAATTATTGTTTCGAGTAGGTACGTGTTTTTATTATGGATTTTGATGGATTTGTGACGAAAGCTTTATTTTTATTTTTGACATTTACACAAAACTAAAACGTTTATTTGTGGTCCATATTCGTAAAGTTGGTTTGTACATACACTGTATTGTAGCTAGTTTAGCAACTACTACTACTAGTTAACGTCACGTGATATTACTGGTAAGTAAGTAGTACGTACTAAAGTCGATCGTCACGTTTAGGATATCGAATTATGCAATGATTAACTAACATATATGTGGACTTAGTCTTTTTATCTATTTTATTTTTGTTCCTCGAGAGAAACACTAGATGAAACTTGGAGCATATTTTTCCAATTTAAACACTAGTTATAGACTTTCAAAGATTGTGGCAATTTAAGGGAATGTAATAATATAGTCTTTAATTATATTATGATTGTAAGAAGTCGTTCATGTTTGAAATTGTTGATAGATTCTCCATCATGCAAGACTTTATAGTTTTATAATATATATGTTCATCCGTACAAAATATTTATTAAATTGAATCCAACATTTCGCCCAATCGGGGTCTACGTCTTTAATACGGTACTGAAAAATATGAGCAACCTATTTTATGATATGATATATAGCTTTTAATTGTATGTAAATGTCAAATACGTTATTTAGAGACACGAAAAGAACCAATCCAACGGATCAACGGCTGCCATGTGTTTTCTAATACTAATACTACTATATCGTGCGTACTCCAGTGGTTGAAATATATCTTTTTTTTATTTTTTTTTGAAAAATGGTTGAAATATATCTTACTCACGTAATGCCTTTATTCTTCTTATTCAAGTAAATCTTTTCCAAAAGTTAAATTGATATTTCGGTTCAAGAATCTGATAAAAAAAAACTAGTAATTAGCAAGCCTATTAAATAGAAAGCATATAACAGATGTCTTTGTTCGTATGCTTGTTCCAAGTAAGCGGTCAAACACAAATGATTAGTTTTCAACTTTTTATTTATTAGATATCACGATAATCATTTTCAACTCTTTTTTTTTTTTAATGTTTTGTCAACGAATTAGCTTTCTTATTTATTTGTTTTGCTCCAACTTCTAACTGTCAAGTTTTTAGATTAAAGTCAACAAAAACAAAACAACACAAAAAAAAAGGTCTAAGCCCGGCCATTGCATTGAAATCGAAAATTTCTTTATAAAACTGAACAAAGTCAAGAAAATATTAATTCATTCCCATCTCTTCTTGCTCTATTGGAATTTTTCATAAACCTATAGATAAAAGTCGCAAATCATTTAGCTAACTTATTTTATATTTGCTCCTCATTTATTTCCAAATGAAGTAGGCTATACAGCATTTAGAACAAAACCTATTAACGTGCTACAATGAAACATTTAATACATCCAACCGTTCAATACGGACAACTTTTAATACCACATAAATTAATTTTTGGTTGATAGGAAAAAAAAAACACATATGTATACGGTTTGATTAAAAAAAACTGTTGAGAACAAATTTAATTTGCAGAATATTTGAGGAAAAGTTTTATTAAAAAAAAAATGCAAAGCATGGACAAGGAAACCGTTCGCATTTATATATATGTCACAGAGACACAGTTGTAGGGTTCAACCAATAGTGTAGCTGGCTGCTTTTAACGAAATTGAAGCTCTTTTGTACAAACGCTAATGAATGTTTCACATTACACGTTTAAGCCTCTCTTTTGGGAGAGTCAAAATATAGATTAAACTGATTCCAACCATCATAAGATTCACAAAAGACACTTTCATCTTCAAAGGATTAGTTAATAAAACTAAACATCATCAGCCACATGGAGCTACGTACTACTGATCCTAGATTAGTCCTCTTTACTTACATGCATCTACTCTCTAAGTTTTCGTTTACCAAAACATAGACCTTTGATGTCATTCCTAGTTTTTATCTTATTACCATGGAGCAGAAGCAGTTGTCTGAAACTCGAGCTTCAAATCTTCTATCTCTTGCTCAATCGTTTCTGCACATGATTTCATTTCCATTGTCCTTTTCTCCGCAGCTTCCGTCTTCTCTTTCGCAACCACTTGCTGCCTCTTCAGCTCCATAATTTTGCATTCTAACTCAACCATTTCTTCTTCATACTTGTTCCTTTCCATCTCTCCAGCTTCAATCTCCTTCTCAAGACTTTTTCTTTCCTCCACTTTCTTTGCTCTCCCTTCTTTTAGAGAGAACATTTTGTTGATCCGTGACTGAGGGGTTGCAACGTCAAAACCATGCTTCTCTAGCTCCGCAAAAGAACAACTTAGGCTACTTAGTGTGCTCGAGGATACATCGACCTGCAGATGATTTACTTCCTCTAATAGCCCATAGAAAGTTACCATCATACCAACTGCTGCCCATTCGCGAAGATCTTCTTTAGCCTCGAACAACGGGACAAAATGTGGACTCTGTGGTACTGTTTTGCATACCTCCAGTGTTTCATACGTCTTCCAAAACGGTGACTTCTTTGCAAAAGGCAAAATCATCAGTGTATCATTTCCTTGTGTTTCCTCATCAGTGGCAGCAGCAGTGTTATTCACCACAATTGGACTATGATCAAAGGATATCTCTGGATAGATCAACGCAAAACAAAAACAAAAAGAAATTGCTTTAGCATTTACTATCTGAAATTTTTCAAAGAGATGCATCTAAGCTAAAGAATATTGAAAATATTATCGAACCAGTAGGTAAATTTATATAAGCAGTGAGAGGCTGATCATCGACATCAACATCAGTGCAGATACTGTTACTTGTATCATTGATCTCAGCTATTGGACCATTGCAACTCTCATCTACAAATTATAACCAATTATATGATTAAAAAATGACCCGAAACAAAGATATCACAGCTAATAGATAGATGTTGGCTTACACATACCAGTCTCCTTAAAGTCTGAGTTCTGGTTTTCATCTCTTTTCCTTTTTATACCCTGATCTTCACTATTCTTCTCCTCAAGCATCTATATAAGAGAGTAAACCATCATTTTGATGAAGAAAAATCATGAACGCCATCATCAAGTGAAAGAGAGAATAATATTTTTCGAACGAAGAATTGACTTTACCTTCTGTTGTTGAGTTGAATTTTTCAAGCCATTCTTATTACCCATTGGCTCAAGTGTCTTCTTGGTGGATGTCTTTCCTTGAGTATCAGCCTCTGTTTGTTTCAACGGTGTTGCAGTTCTGACCCGCGACGGGGTTACAGGTTTAACAGAGGCTGAAAACATTGACCTTATAGATCAGTTTCATGATGCAGAAACTATACTCAAAGAGCTAAACAAGATCACACTTACCCATTGGTTTCACTTGCGGGGTTATGGGCATAGGAGTATTATCATTAGTAACATCATTAGCCCTCTTCTTTCTCAATTCTCGAGTGGCCTATTTGCAGGTAACAAAATTTGTAAATCAAACATATGAAAAAAGCAAACGAAATTAGTGAATGCCAAACTCACAGCTCCAGTTTCAGCTTTTGTGAGTGTCTCGTCATTTTCCTCAAGATTGAGTGATCTTTTTGTATGCTTTGTGGTCCTTTTCGGAGTAGTCACTGACTTAGCACCAGAACAAGAGCGCATTGGCTTCGTTGTTATGACATTGGAAGGAGTTTCTTTCACGGGATTTTGCTGAAAAGTGGACAGAACATAACATCTTCAATTCATACCAATATATCAAAAACTGAAAGAATATACAACTTGACATAATTGAATATGATACCTTTGGTCCGTCCTGCCAAACACCATCTTCCCACACCTTACATGGCCTAAGATCCAAGTGTTTAAACACGCATTCCTCCTTTGTAGTCCCTAAACTAACCATGTAACTATTCTGACGGAGAATTCCCCTTACCAACCCTTGACGCCATACTGAACAGCGAAATGCCTCAACACGATCCAACAAGTTGTACTTTTCAACTGGAAAAGGAGGCGGTGTGGGTCTAACACGGCATGAATCAACAGTAGTGTTTGTTCTTGCCTCATCACCATTAAAGCTCAAGTGTTTATTACAGTCCTTGACGATTAATTTCATCTCATCATCCACTTCGATCTCTTTAACTATCATAGCGGGGAACCAGGCAACTTCCGCTTTCTCTACAACAGTACTCACTTCCACCATTGTCCCGGAGCTAAACATGGACTTATCTAATTCCTTCAAGGACCACAAACAGAAAAATTAAAGCCAAAGCTAAAACCTTTAACCATATTAGCAAAAGCATAGCATTCAACACTAACAAAAACATAGAAAGCAACAAAACTAAGCCAGATCGAAGCAAATAAAACCGGATTTGTGAAAGGATCATGACATGCAAGAAATCAAAACAGAGAAAAGTTTCAACCTTTAGCAAGAAAGCAACGAAATTGAGAAAAGACAAACTTGGATTTCATCAATCTCATACCTGAATCTCTGGTCGGTCCCATTTCGAACCGGTCCAGCGCAGATGGGGTCTCAATTGGTTTCTGTGGAACTCAATGATGTCAGGTGGGTTATCATAGTAAACCCAAAACTTGTCATTGTCCAATTTCTTAAGAAGCACACCAGTCCACCATCCATCTTTATGGTCAGCATCCACCATCGACCCTTCCTCCAAAACGACATCTTTGTATTCACCCTCCGGCGGAACGGGTCGGATGAACCTCGGTGCTATGCTCTCGATTAAAGGAGAGGAGCCGTCTTCGTCTAACAGAGTCATGTAACGAACACGGAGCTTTTTGCGCCCTGATTTCGTTGGGTTTTCTTCGAGAACCCCTCTGAACCATGCATCTGCAAACCCTTCTTCTTCAGAACTCACTTCTACTTGAGAATCTTTCGTAATCTTCTCCTCCATCTCTGTGAGTCCAAGTGACTTTTACTTCTGAGATAACTTTGTCTTCTTCCGCAGAGAAACCTAAGATTTGGAAAACCTCCCCTCACTCCACTTCTGATTACCTTCACAATGGAAGCAGAGACGTCATCTGCCTTAATTATGATGAGTAGACATTACTAATTTTTATTAATTTTCCTTTTTCTTTTGGCGCGATAAAAAGTTACAAAATAACAAATATATCTATTGGGCCTAAATTACCGAGCCCACGTATTGTAATCGGCGATTTGTCGTTATCTGCTATCACTAATTATTGACGTACAGTACAGTAACTAAGTTTACGGTGATTAACAAAATACGATTCAGCTAACGTAATAACATTTTTTTAAGATCAGACATTTACAGTTTACTAATTATGATTCAGTCTTCGCCACATCAGCTTCTCCGCCCTGACTCAAAAAAATGACTTTTCATATTCCTCTACCCATTATTACGCTTTTGTTCAGACTTTGCTGTTACCTGAAAATTCCACAAAGATTAGAAAAGGGGAAAATGAAACTCAGATAATGGCTTCAACCCGATTATTAACGTTGTTAAGACCAGATTAATAATGCAGACAAGAGTTTTATTAAAGTTGTTCAGAACAGATTAATGATACGGTTTTTTCATTAGCTTCGATTTTCTACATGACCGTCGTACTGTAAATGAGTTGAAGAACCGGTGTCTTCAAAGAGTAAAGAGACTTGAAATCACAAATGGAAAGACTTAACAATTCCAAACGGGGCAGTGACTGAAATCACCGGAAAAAGAAAAAGAAAAAAAAAGGAGAAATACATACACATGAAAAATTGCAAGTCAGTATACACCAGAGTACTTATTTTTAGAGATCAGAGGCTTTCATCTTCCTCGGACGCTTATGAGCTGGTGAAGGGGTATCTGCTTGTCTTCCAGGACCCTGTAGCATTCACAAACATATTTTAGTTGAGATTTAAGTTTATATATATATATATATATATATATATAGATACAAAAGTTTATTATTAGAGAAATCGATATGAAAATAGAAGAGGAGACTTAGATCTGGACCACCTTGCGCTTTTGTTCCTTCTTAATTGGTCTTTCAGCTGAAACCCACACACAAAATGAACATAGAAATGGTTAAGTAAAGGATACAATGCTGAAACCACGAAAATAAGGAATTGTACCTCCAAAACTGAATGGGTCTGATGCAAACACACGATCCTGATCATATACAGAAAGATTAGAGAGGTCAATTAGGAAGATGAAACTGTTGTAAGAATTAATAAACAAAGTTTGATGCTCACTTTTGGCGTGTCTGGCATTGCCGCATATAACCCTTCACGATGTGATGAACCTTCTGATTCCTTGTATTGCAGCTGAAATTACGAGCACACCATGTTTGGCAGGAAGTTAGAAAAACAAATACAGTGTATATCTGTTAATCCATGTGAGATAGACTTGTATCATATGGTTTACCTGCTTCTGAAGATTCAGTAGTGTTAATATTTCTTTTCGTAACTCAAGATGCTCATCACACACGGTTTTCGTAGGAACCTTTGGCTTCAAATTAACCTGTAAAGTAGCTTTAATCAAATTATCTGATAAGAACCTACTAGCTACTACCCTAACTTCAGTACGGGAGGCCTTTATAGCATTTAGTCTCATTCATCAATCAATGGGAAAGATAACCAAAGGATTTAAGACAAATAGAAAGAGTTTAACAGAACAAGAATCAAATACAAACCCCGAGATCTTGCAGAGTCTGCTCAACACGCTTGATTGTTCGAAGACCAACAGCAGAGCTTGCAGCTTGGACCATTTGTTCAAGTCCATAGGTTCTCAAGTATACATGAAGCTAAAAAATTATCAGATTCAAAGAATAAGATAAACTGGATAACCAAGTGGAAAAGGAAAGAGGAGAAGAGAGAGACACTGACCATACGCAGGGAAGCAAGGGTAGAGGCATAATCTGCCATAGTTAGTGTTGATGGAGCCACAGCAGTAGCAGGAAGTTGAGAATTAGATGATGGAGATATACTACGCCCTGAAACTATCCCATCAGCTTTATCAAGACCGGCGTTCTCATTTGCAGACACATCAGGCTCTTCTGCACGCTGGACAGCCAGTAAGACAGATAGTTTCAGAAACAAGATCAGGCAGACACATCCATTGTTTTTTAC